AAAAACGCCAGTGTCTCAGTAACAGGTTGGTGTTTTCGCTGATCTCATTCGTTCCAGGCTTGCTCGTGAGAGAAAGTGGGTCGACATGCTAGTTTAAATTCTAGTATAGTATAAAGTATAAAACGATATGAAAACTGTGGCGAGGTTGCCTCTTTTCATCTTTTACTCCCCTGTGAAAGTCTGAAATCTGCAGCCTTCATTAACATCATCAAACCTTTAGAAATGTTGGATACCTTAGACATGTTCCATACGGGAACACGGTGCTCAGAGGAGCTGTGGACCAGGACAGAATAGCTCATTCCTTTATGCTCTGATCCAGGAATGGCAGAGTCAAATAAGCTAAGTGGGCCTGCGTTCCCGTGTTCACTCACAGTAATAAACGGGCGGTTTTTGCTGGGGTTTTTCACTCCTCTCTGGTTGAAGAATTGGAAGATCGCACAGCCAGCAGGAGATTAGCTCAATTACAAAATAGCCCAGGTGAGATGAAAACCAGAAACTCTTGAGAATTCGCCAATCTTGGTGGTCCCGGTAGGCCAGCGACGGTCAGCTCCACACTTCAACATTTATTGAATCCACTGTCTGTGTTTAATCCCAAGTCTTGAAAGGTCTGAGGCCCTGATTCATCGCTGCTCCAGTCTCTTGATTACCACCAGGCTTATGGACCAAGTTCTGAGTCCAAGTCACAGTGGTCCAGGAGTACTTGACGCGCAGGGGGCACTGGGTGAAACAAAAAATGATTTGACTTTTGAGCTGATAGACATCTTAAATGACAGTGAAAGATATTCCCGGACAGCCAAGCTAGGAAATTTTAGAATTATTGCTTTTTGCCCAAAATGTCTGTAAATGTTTTTAAAACCACAGGACAAAAACAAAAGGGTTATACTTGAGGAACAGCTAGGAGTAATAATTATGCTTCAATTTAGATAAATGTTCCCAGATTTGATTTTTGTTCCTCATACTGTCAGTTGTCATTTTCTCTCTACTTTCAGTCATAACCTGATATTTCCCCTTATGCATAATAGATTAGCATTTCTGAAACTGTTGTCTGCATTCTTTCCGTTAAATCAGCTTTTCTTTCACATTTCTGTGATATGCATAGGATGTTTGAAAGTTAGCATTTTCATTTAAGAATCGATTTACTGTTTTAATTGGTTCATATTGCTAGGAAGCAACATTTTAACACAAAAGCAATAAAGTGGAGAGTAGATAGACAATTGCCTAATCTACAGGAGTCCAGGGCACAATACAATATACATCCAATAAATGCAGTAGTTTTCTTCTCGGATATAGATGGATAGATACTTTATTGATCCCATTAGGGAAATTACTGGATATATTGGTAGAGTAAATATAGACTGAATCAGGGCTACCCAATACTGGTCCAGGAGGTTGGAGGTCATTCCAGTTCAGCTCCTAACCAGTAAAACCCTGGGCTAAATCCATCCACCCTTTTCCTACCCACTTTATCTAGGGATAAGCCCTTCATCAGGGTCGCTAGGCAGCCGGAGCCTGTACCAGTAAGCCTGGGAATTCACATAGACTCACCTTAAGGACGCTGAGCTCGATCTTGAAGAGTCCTAGTCTCATTCCCTTCATCTGCGTCTTATCTGCGTCTTTATTAATAGTTCAAGTTACGGACTAGAGTCCTACAAGCCTGGTCACTAGTATTTTGTCGACTTCTCCACATGAACCTGCGCTGCATAAATTCACTCTGACCTCTGACCTTGATGCCAGTTCTACATTTTAACCAGAGTCTTCTAGCCAATGGTAAGGCAGCAATCAAGTGAGGACATTTACAAGTGACCTTGGAGTCAAAGACATTGATGAGGAAGCGACACAAACGGTGATATCCAAAACACCCTTCTTTTTCTAAACTGAAAACCTATGAAGGGTGTCATTAAAATATCGATTCTTGTGCACACGAGTTGCATGTATCTCTTAACAAATCAAAATTTTATTTTATAGTTTCCCTTTTACCTCAGCTAAGTGGGTCAGTTGCTCTGTAGTTCACCCCAAAAACGTTTTTCTTTTAGCAAGAGTGTCCTGTTGTGTTTTAATACTTATTTCATTTCTCTTTGGGTGATTGCGTTTGACAAAAATCTGAATATTGAAAAGGCACTGGATATCTGATACTGGTTGTATCATTTTTGATTATTGAATTAATGGCACTGACTTTTCAGTACAATTTAGTTACATTTATTCCTGTTTGGCTTCAGTGTTTTTCTTTGGTGGATACATACTCTAACCTTTGCATAGAACTTGGAAAGTTTCTTACGTTCAACAGAACAATTTGTGATGGCTGGCATCGGTAAATGTTAATTCAAAACGTATGTAGTACCATCTATAAAACCTGAAGAATTATGTGAAACTCAATTACACAATTTTCTGTATTACATAAATTTATTACAAGCAACATCCTACAGTTCTGAAGCTGTTCCTGAATCTACAGTGAATTCTGTAAAAGCTTTAGACAGACAGCAGTTTTTCTTTCCAAAGCTTAGGCAATGTTATGTCAGACTGCTACACCAGCCAATGCCAAAGACATTGTGTAACTACGCTCTTCAAATGTTGACTTTTCTTATTTCATTTATATTGTAAGTAAATAAGAGGAATAGAAATGAGCTCTTCGTGTATAGTGTGTTTTGATTTCCACGATGGCTTATGCACAATTTGACCTTCAGTTTGTGGGCAGAGCAAAAGAATATGAAATTGCTCCTTTTTTTAATGAAAGCTGAAGAAGGAACTTCCGTCAGTAAAAACTAAAGTGTTGTTTTACACTGGTTTAAAATAGGATTTCCAAGTGTGATCTGTTGAAGCTATACCAGACTTTTTTTTGTACTTTTTTTTTCTAACGCACCCAAATCTGCCGACAAAAGGCTGCGTACTTTTCCCCTCGCTTGTTTTCCGCAGGGAATCCGTCGGTCTCTTGCTTTGTGGAAATGACAAGTTCTGCTTTCCTTTCGCACCGCCAGAAGACTCTGAGGACGAGAGTCTGGACAAGGACCTGAGTTTCGTGGGATCGCACGCCTTCGCCCGGATGGAAGGGGACGTGGACAAGCAGAGGAAGCTCACTCTGCAGGGGCAGATGTCCGAGGCCACCCAGCACAAGCAGCACCTGAGAAAGTGAGGCCCTGCTGCCCTGCTGGGCTCCAGTTCTCTGGATGCACCGCGGTGAACCTCGTCTGCGATTAAATGGTCTGCAGGATTTAAGATTAGTCAGATTAGGAACATAGAACAACCTTTTTTTTAAACTTTGTTTGGTAGGGAGAATAGTATAATGATTAACCAGTATCTCAAAGCCCAGCTCCTGTGTTGTAACAGAGTAGCACAGTATTATAAACTGGTGAGCTCAGTGGACAAGTGGAAATTGTTGTATCGCAAAGCACTGACTAACATCATACAACAAACCTTTTCATTGGATTTTCAAACCTTTATAGGAACTGAGATTGATATGTAATAATATGAATTGTTACAGCAGACAGGTGCCCTGCTTGTCTATTATTAATTGTAAGTCCTGATATCCGGAATCTGCCATATGCCAATGTAATTTTTTCAGTTTGCATACGTATCTCCTGTTTTTACAGTTATAACCGATGGTTATGTAGAGCAAGAGCAGAAGACCTGTCAGACATTGCAGCTCTGAAGGCGTTATATCAAACAGGTGAGCATTTCAGTGTTATTCTGCGTGTGGGAATTGAGGTTTTTTACTCCCATCAGATGGCCAGTGCTCTCTTCTTCGTGTGAGATCTTGGCCCCCTTATCCCCAGAAAAGACCTGCCAAGGCTGGATTCTTATGTTATTTTTTTTTTTGTAAACGTGGGTGGATAATTTGTGTGTTGACTCCTGCGTAGCTGCCAGCTCTTGACTAGCTTGTCATCCCTTGAGCGTGAGGGCAGAGGACTTAGTCTCGCATGAGCGATTCTTCCTGTGTTGTTTTGCAATCCTCCCTCTCGTTTTCGGTTCTCGCATCTATAATCGTCTGAGGTGTGCAGGAAGTCCCACGCTGGAAGTCAGCTGTGTTCTCCAGCAAAAAAAAAAACAACAACAAAAAACAAATGGTCCAGTTTGTGTCTGAGCCGTTCTCCTCAGATACAGTCTTCATCATCGCACACTGTACATGTAGTGGTAGCAGCAGGTTTTTAGTGAGGCTGCAGCAATTACGACAGTGCCAGCAGCAGGGGGAGTGGTAGCTCTGTGGCTCCTGATCTGCGCCTGTGGCTGGAAGGTTGCCGGTTGGTATCCTGTGGCCGGCAGAGGAATCCTACTCCCTCGGGCCCCTGAGCAAGGCCCTTAACCCAACTGCTCCAGGGGCGCCATACAATGGCTGACCCTGCGCTCTGACCCCCAGCTTCTCTCCCTGTCTGTGTGTCTCATGGAGAGCAAGCTGGGGTATGTGAAAAGACGAATTCCTAGTGCAAGAAATTGGATATGGCCAATAAAGTGATCTTTGCCAAGCCTCCCTCTTCATGAACGGTTTCACACCAAGGCAGCTCTCAGTCCACACAGCCCGCGGCCTCTTGTTTATTTTATTGCGCCCACTTTTCTGTCCTTTTGCTCTCTGTGTAGTCTGACTGCGGCCTACATCTGCAGCAGCTTTGAATTTCCTGTGAGCACATTTCTGTGCAGCTCAGCACTCAAAATGACCACCTGCAAGAAAAACGCATTCTTCTATATGCGGCTTCATAAAACCGAAGCTCTATTTAACCGTTTGTAAAGTGATGTGCTGACGCAGGGACTCCAGTTTCTTGCCCCCGTCTCGGCTAGGTTTCTGTATTGCATCTAAAGAGACTGCATACCGTTTAGAACAACATTAAAATATTCATGGAAAATCCATTTTCGTTTAAAATATAATAAGTAACTCTGTGTAAAGTATATGTTTTTTTTTTTTTGAGGCCAGAAATTAGTTTTAATATGTATCTAAAGGGTGGCTCCCAACTGGGAACTCAGAATTGATGGATCCTGACTCATTCATGTTGAATTACAACTGCAAGCTCTGGAAGGCATTGCTTATCAGAATCCATGTGCTTGCATATTGTTGGATTGTTAGTCTAGCAAAATAATTTGGAGTTAATTGAAAAGTCCTAAAAAATATTTTTAAATATTTTTTAAAGAAACTTTTGTTTTGAACTGCAGTATATAAAAAAAACTCATACACCAGTTAACCAGTAGGTGGCAGGATTTCCGTAGTAAACAGAGGTAGTCAAGAGACTGGGATTCCTAAAGGACCAAGTTGAAACCTTTTGTTTTGCTTGTTTGTTTTGTAGTTTTTATCATTTTCAATTCAACACAAGAGCAGGAAAATCTTAACCTGCCGCACGTGTAGAAAATGACCTTTTCACGTCTAATATCACTTGTCATCCTAAAAACAGGCAGTAAACTTTAAAATGCCAACAGCAACAGAGAGGTGTGAATAAAGTCAGGGATCAGGGATCACTACATTGACCAAAAAAAAAGTAAAAAGCTCTGAAAATAGCCTACACAGTGCCTAAAACAAAATCGGTAGAAGCAGCGGACGTTACAATATTAACTAGCGCAGTCTTCACAGGTGCGTGTAGATGTGGTGAGGTGGCGCTGTCCCGATGTCTGCGAGTATCGGGTTTCATCGCTGGGGTACAAGGAAGGAGAAAGAGCAGCAGGAGAGTGAAGAGAGGATACTACTAAGCAACTAGCAGCCCATGAGCAAAGGGCGGGGCTATCAGGAGTAACGAGAGATGGAGGAGACGGGAGAGGAAAGAGCGATGCACACGCCACGAGCAAGGACAAGGTCCTGAAATCGGATCAGGAGTAGAAGTTTGCAGCCAATGCAAAGATCGTAGGGTGGCCTGCTGCTGCACTGAGGCCAGCCAGGAGAGTGTTGCATTAGGCCGTTCTAGACAAGACAGTGGACTGCACTTGCAGGGGAGGAGTCTGGTAGGTATATGTATAAATAAATAGCAGAGCAATGAGAGGAAATATGAACATCGCAGCACAGAAACCATGGTGGCAGATGAAAGAGCCGGGAGAGATGGTGAAAGGAAAGAAATGGTCCTTGTACTGGTCCTTGCGGGACGCCTGCGGATGGATGGATGGATGGATGGATGGATGGATGGATGGAGGGTGAGGGGAGAGGTGAAGAGAGGCGAAGCCCAGGAGGCAGGAGACGAGCCGTGTCTGAAATAACCACGCCTGACTAGAACAGTGGGGTGTTCGCTGTTGAGAAGTCGGGGAGGCATAGGATAGAGGAAAGCAAAGTTACATGGGCCGCAAGGAGAGAGAGAGAACGGGGATGGGGAGCAAAGGAGAGGGTGTTGAGTCGGTCAGGAAGCAGGCCGGAATGGGTCAATCCAGGAATGAGCTGTGGCGAGAGTGTGCAGCTGCTAACCTCTCGTTCCAGAGCTTTCTGAGCAGCAAGGCCAGGGTCTAGAGAAGAGTTTCTGAGAATGGGGTTCAACGGCCCCTTTTAAAATGAGACGCTAAGAAGCTGGAGTCCAAACGTTTATCGAGGAATGGGGAAATGAACGTGTGGATTACCAGTTAGGGATGAGTGGGACGAGGAGCGAGAGATCCAAGAGAGCTGTGAGGAGCCAGCTTGAGAGGACTGGGAGCGGAGTGAATGGCAGATATTTTAGAATCATTTTCCCACTTCCTATCAGCAGTATGCTGGACAGCACCTATGCAATAAGATAAGAACACAGAGGATGGGAAAATGCAATGGACAACAAATAATTAACAGGAGTTGGCTTAGCACAAGGCACGTTTGCTCAGTTTCTAATAAAATATAATACTAAAGCAGAGTAAAAGTATTCAGACTGTTTTTAAGGTGTCCCGTATTTTAAGTTACAGAATGATGCATACATCTGTACCAGTCTACCATCTCCAAGCTTGGCAGTGTTGATGGTGTCGACTGGCAGATGTGTGGTGTTGGGTCTGTGCCAAACATAACAATTGGCAGGCATTTCAGCACAACACCTTTTGCCTCACTTTTCAGGATCACTCAGGTGCTTTGTTGCAGACTTCCTGTGGGATATAAGCTGGATTTCCCATTCAGCTCTACAGCCCAGCTTTCGGGAGTGGTCAGGATGTTATTGACCGCTGCACATTTTCTCATCTCAGCCAGTGACCTGTGTCTCTCTTTTATCTTCTCAAAGTTGTTGTTGGCCTCACATTGGCAAATCCACTGTCATTGCACTCGGAGGCCACTCAACTAATTGTGTGGTTCAATAATTGTATCTAAATTAATTTAAGTTTGCCGAGTTTGAATGTTTATGGAATCATTTGACTTTTCCATGTTTCTTTCATATGAATAATCTACTTCTTTCATACTTAGCTTTGAATGTGAAGAGTAGATTTTAATTAGAAAAAATATTAATTGTTGCTTTAAAGTAACAATTACAAAACTGTGCAACACTCTTAATCATTTTCCAAGGCACTGTATTTGTGTTTTTGTAACTTTATGCCCAGTCTACTGTTTTTTCAATATACATTGCTATATTAGACTTATACACTATATTTGACTTACAGTACTTCCTTAAATCAATTAGCAATTAGCAATATTTTGCTAGGCTTTGTTAATTGCCCTCTGTGTATAGGACATGTTTGTACCATTATTAATCATAATTATTTTAAATATTTGAGTAGTTATTTTTGCACAGCATATTATAATCTCCTATTAAATAAATATAACCAAGAAGTGTCACTCATTGGCGAAAAGGTAAATGGAAAAATACACATACTGTTTAAATTGTAGGATTCGAATGGGTGTTAAATGGGCTCTGGAATTAGTGATTAGGGTCTCCCGTGAACTGAGAGACTGAGGTAAAACTGGAGTGATTTTCTACTTATCAGATTCGTTTCAAACTGACTTCAGTTTAAAACAATTGACCTACAGTAAGTTTAAAGTGATTTTTTTGTGATGTTACTAAAGACAAACGCAGAAAACACAGTGGTAGTCATGTCCCTCATTCTCCCAGTCGGCAATTTAAAAAAGCGTGATGACAAAATTACACACTGCTTCGCTTTTGTATCTTATGAAGTTTTTTTTCCCTCTTCCATAGGGGTGGATACCTGTGGAAGAACAGTTATGGTGGTGGTTGGAAGAAATATTCCTGTAACGCTAATAGATATGGAGAAGGTATTAATTTGGTTATTATTTGAAGGCATTTACTATGAAAGGAGGAAGCCTTTCCTGAATGAAGATCGCCTTGTTTTTCTGCAATTGTGCAGAAAAACAACTCAATTCTGCAATTTCCCTCACGGGATCAATAAAGTATCTATCTATCCATCTTGTTTAACATACTGAGTAATAACGTCTTGGAATCGCATCCATTCACACACACGTCCGTGCCAGACTTTGTGCTTGTCTTGCAGGCTCTGCTGTACTTCATCCATGTCATGGACCACATTACAGTGAAGGAATACGTTATGGTTTACTTCCATACGCTGACCAACGAGCACAATCACCTGGACTCTGAATTTCTGAAGAAGCTCTATGACATTGTGGACGTCAAGTAAGGGGGGACCGTATAGCAGGGTGAAATGTCTGGGGGTTTAGAAATTTTTAATAGTCAGGAGTAAGAGCTGACTTCAGCTCCCCTAAATAGATGCTGTAATACTCCTTAATTGTAGCATTTTCTAATACATGGGATAAGTACTGGTGTGGTACACATTTAGAATACCAAAAACAAGTGTTTTGAATTCCCCAATTTGTACCAAGAATGATTTTGGTTTTTCGTTGCATGAATCGATGATTTTTAAGCGATGTTCTGGTCAATTGTGTGTCAGCTAGAAAACAAAAAGAATATAAGAGGATGTCATTCAGCCCATTTTGTCAATTTGATTTCTAGATTGTAATTGGTCTCGAAACACCGTCAGTGGCTTCTTGAAGGATAGCAGACTCAAGATCCTCAGCTTCAACGACTTTGAATAGGAAGTTCACAGATCCTCTTAACGTGTTTGTTTGAGGAAATATCCCCTGTCTTAATCTTGCACTCATTTGGAAAAGGTGTCCCAAAAATACTGCGGACATCATTGGTACAGAAGTAAATTTCGGTTTTAATTTTTCTGCACAATTTAAGATTAAGATCACTTTACTAGCCATGTACAATTTCTTGCATTAGGAATTTGTCTTTTCACATACCCCAGCTTGTTCTCCATGAGACACACAGGCAAGGAGAGAAGCTGGGGGTCAGAGCACAGGGTCAGCCATTTATACGGCACCCCTGGAGCAGCTGGGGTGAAGGGCCTTGCTCAGGGGCCTAACAGAGTAGGATTCCTCTGCCAGCCACAAGATTTGAACCGGCACCCTTCCATCCACAGGTGCAGATCCTGAGCCACAGAGTTACCGCTCCTCCCCAACCCACCTCTACCCCAATGGTAGCAAGCGTTTTGTTGCTGTCCCTGGTTGGCTAAGCCTTGGCCATTTCAAAGTGATTTCAGAAAGAGAGCAGCTGTAGATCCGGGCCTAGCTGGGTTCTGGGACTGCTGTGGTTCCGGGCCTGGCTGGGTTCTGGGACTGCTGTACCACTGGGCTTAGCTGGTTCTGGGACTGCTATGATTCCAACAGGTCCCACTTACCTGCAGACCCAAATACTGTTCCCAGAATACCTGTGTCTAATCTAATCTTGCAGGATCAGTTAAGCATCCATGTTAAACTATGTTCTTTGTGCTATGGTGTTCTCGGTGATGTTGTTTACTTTGTCTAGGTTGCAGGCCAAAAGATGGGCCTAATAAAAGGAATCTGTTGTCCTCAGATTTGTCTTGTATAACAGTCATACAAATAACATTACAGAATTAACCTGCTGTGAATGAAAGAGTATTCAGTTATAACAACATGTATGTTTTTTTAGTTTAACATGTTACAGATTTAATTAGGTTAATATTTAATAACCTGCTGATTAGCTTCAGCCTACTCATGGTCATTCCTGTTTTTCTTCATGTTGAAACTTCCCTGAAGTAATCTGAAGAGCAAATTGGGCTTAATAGCAATATAACTTATAATTAGTAACCTTTATTCAATACAGATAGGAAGATTTATAAGTCACGCATGATTGTTTTCACTGGAAGTACTGAAGCCAGACAAGGGAGGGGCAGCTGCAGAGCTGCCAGGCCCTTACTGCTGATTCTGATTGCTCCACAGCTTCAGCCATCACTAGCCCAGTTTTAAAGTCAGAGTTGTTTACAAACCTTGGATGTACCAACGTGTTTTTAAACACGTAGATGTTATATTAGTGTCGCGTCTCGCTATAATGATAATACTCCTACATTGACCAAATGCAATGTCCTATCTCATCAAAACATGTTGTTGTGAAATTCTGCTCAGCATATTGACAGATGTGTGTGCATGGCCTGACAATTTGGGACGTTTGCACTGCGGAATGGAGAACACTTCTTTGCACTCTGAAAAACACATACAAGGGCTTTAGGTAGTGTGTGTCTAAATATCACCACAACACTGCATTCATGGATTCATTTACCTCTTGCACAACATTGTGTAGCAGAGTTAACACTTGGTTCATGTACGTTTACGGGATTTGGTCCGAGTTTAGCTCCTGCAGTTGACTTGAAAACTCAAAGGAAAGGTTACTGGAGTATCGCTGGGCCCCTGCCTGAAGTTACCTAAACTCGAACTTGGAGTCATGGGGCCAGGCAGCAGAGCCCAGGGTTCCCCAAAACAGAGAGGGGGGGCTGGGTTTGGATGGCTGGGGTGCGTCTCTTCCAGTTGGCGCTGAGCCTGCTGGGGGGTCTGCGATGGGCAGGAGGTGGGCGTGTCAGAGGTCCTCTTCCTCCCTTCCCCGTGTGGGGCTGCAGGGTTTGTAGCCACGAGACACGAGAAATGCACAACTGGCCGTTCCACACTGGGTGGGTGTTTTAACAGAATAATTACATCCGATAGCTAGAAAAAAAACACTGACATGGATATAATTTAACTGGCATGCCGTATTGGAGTGCAGTCTGAACTTCATGCCAGTCAGATTGGAACTGGAGCCCTGGAACAAAATACGTCCACATTGTATCCACATTTTCTCTTGATTCCCTCTAATGTGAACAGCTCCTGACATCTTAATTTATTGGTATAGTTTCAGTTCAGATCAGTTCTACATTTAAGTCTCAAACAGTACATCCTGGCCAGTGTAATTTGCAGTCACTTGAGGTTGTGGTGGTGTAACTATATATATCTCTGAAATATATAAGCGACCTGTTCAGTGCCGTGCTTCCATTTATTTGTCAGTTCAAAAAACTTACAAGTCCTAAATTAATTTGGATGGGGTTTCAGAAGAGTTCAGTTCATTTAAGAAAGATTTTCTTTTTTTTATCAGATAATTGAAATCGTTAAAACATCTCCCGAGAAGGCTCTTTATGCAAAGTGTTGTAGGAGTACGGAACAAGGTACCAACTCATGTTGTTGAAGCTGAACCCCTTATTGAAACAATTCCTTTGATCAATAAGCTGCTAAGTACCCAATGGGCTTTTTGGGCTGAATAGACTCCTCTTCATGTGCAGCCATTCTTGTTCTTCAATATACCTCGATTCATCTTGCTCTATACCTGTGTGTTTTCTGCCTTGTTATAGGTATAAAAAGAACCTGAAGGCCTTTTACTTCGTACATCCTACTTTCCGTTCCAAGGTAAATTATTTTTCACCCAGAGGAGCTTACAGAAGGTAGAGACTGCTTTTGCAGATTACCGTTTATGACATTTATTTTATGCAAGTTAAAACCTGCCACATGCACAGAGCTAAACAGCTGCAATGCTTTTGGGTTTTTTTTACTTAGGAGGAGTTTTGAGAATATGTTTTAGGCTAAGAAAAAGACAATTTTGTCCTCAGCAATCTGACTTATTTTTTCCAAAATATGGCAAGTAACGATGTATTTATATCTATATTTACTCTTTGTGCCTCACAGTTCTCTCAGCTTTCAGCTGTCAGAGTATCAATGCATTCCTCTATAAATGTGCCTTTTTAATACTGTTAAACATTTGTTTCTTTGTGTATCTGTACTATATGCATTACACCATGTTTTACATTAATCATAATTCTCTGTATTCCATTTTTTTTTTATTTGGGTCAGATTTCAGCCTGGTTTTTCACGACCTTCAGTGTGTCGGGGCTGAAGGATAAAGTTCACCATGTGGAAACTCTGCAGCAGCTGTTCACATGTGTAGTACCTGAGCAGATCGACATTCCCCCCTTTGTGCTTGAGTATGAAGCCCGGGTAAGCAACCTCCAACCTTTCCTTTTCCTCAGTTATAAACACCTGAGTCCCACCTTAACCACGCGTTTTCCCTGAACAAAGAGGTACCAGCAGTGCTTAACTTGTCAGATCAGGAACTTCTGATACACTTGTGATCTGTCATTTTTATATCCCTCCAGTAAGCAAAGTATTTTTTTTTAACAAAGGAGACACCGGCAGTGTGTGATTCAGATGTAAGGCCTTAATAAAAATAAGGACTCAGACGGGTATGTTCTTTTTTGGTGCCTGCATTGTCTTAGAATTTTAGTCAGAAGCTTTCCTGCGATTAAGTCTGACAAAATGTGCAAGTACAATTGTCACCAGGCAGTACTTTATTCATACTGTTCTGTATTTTAAACATTACGCTCCACTAACCTAATTTGGTAGAAGCAGTGACTGATATTTTATTACATCCACATAACCTGCCAATATGCTTCAGTTTAGATTCCTTCATTTTTGTCACGGGGTGTGCAGAGATTAACATTCTTGATTCAGAAGGATTCTGATAATGTTACTTTCTAACTCCTTAAGTAATTACCTTGAAACCTTGTGTGGTGCAAGTGGTAGTGGAGTGTAAATTTATTTGTGAAACTCTTAGAATCTTCATAATAGTGATTGAATTATTTTTTTATATTAAGTCTTCAAGTTTGCTGTCAGATAAAATTAAGATTCCTTTTTTTCAGTTTACAAATTGTTAAAAAGTTTGGTGTACGCTGGTCTTGCGCAGATTGATAAGAACGGTGAGTCAATAATATTAAATTTCAACCGATAACTGGAAAGTAAGTGACCTTATGCAGTATAATATTTGCCCTTATAAAGGGAACAAACTTGCATACTTTTTTTGTGAACTGTTGTCCTGTGTCTCGAAGGATAATAAAGTAGTGTATAATGGCATATGCAGAAAAATATTGTGGGTGTAATTTTCTGCAAATATTGTCGACAGAACATTTACTGTGGAATTTAATTGGACAATTACTGTAAATGTATTTAAACATTTTTTTCATGAGGGAGGCCTTGTGCTAGTGCATTTTAGATTGTCCGAGATTCTTAATCGCATTCAAAATTATTTTATTTTGGAAAGGTTATAAGAGTTTCTAAGCCGGGTTAGATTTTAAACTGGACGATTAATTTAAATGTTTTTTTTTATAAGGGGGGACTGGAGGTGGTGAGAGGGAGTTAATTGAGCTATTTGCCAAAAATAACAAGCAGAATAAACTAGAATAGATACTCTCTTCATAAATAATCTACTAATTGTAAGGATTTTTTGCAAACATATGGGGCACCAGTCTTTTAGCTGTGAAAGGCCGCCAGGGCTCGGGAGGAAATTTTAAACACACTTCAAAAGTTAGGCTTGGAAGAGCATCTTGGAACGAACCTGCAGCTGCTTTACAAATTGTCCTCGGCAGAAATTCAGAAAAGAGATCGTTGTGCTGAGGCTCTGTCCCTGCGCCGGCAGGATAGGCTTTTGTTTTTCCTGTGTCGAGTTTCCTCATGCCGACGGCACTGTTTCAGCGGCCTGTAGACCCCGCCGGCTGCCCTGGTCTCGAATCCGACGACCTCGCTCCGCGGGTTCTGGTAGCGGCAGGACCGCACAGCTCCTCTCGGAGCGGAGCATGGAAATCCCCCTTGCTGCAACTTAATTACGGCGATCGTTTTCAGCACGGTAGAATTAATCAGACCTCCCGTCTGTCAGTGAAACCCACTGCTAATTCCTTTCCTCTGTTATTGCTTCATACACAAGACATTATTAAAAGCATCAACAGGCTTAATCAGAGTTATGCCTTCAGGATGGTGTGTTTGTTCTCAAGAGCCAAATACTGGATTGCATATCGACTGCAACTCGGTTTTGTCCTTTTTCCTAAATGTTTTGTAGGAATAGTGCACTTGGTTTTTATAGAGCATTTAATTCAATTCAGTTCAACTGTGTCATTATACTTAATGGGGTTTAGATTTGCTGTTGCTTTTAACCCCTTTAAAGAAATATGTAATGCGATCTAGAATGGTTTTGCTGTTATTTGAGCAAGTCTGTTTTGCATGAAATTCCCCACAGAAGCTCTAAAATGGTATCATTTGTATTATTATGATTGGCCTTTTATCTAACACTCGGTTGCATGATACTGTGTTCTTCGTGGAGCAAATGAATAAGTAAGCAGTGTTACTGGTGGGGGAGTTGACATCTTGTTCAGTCTGTGTTTGATCAGCACCCCGGCATCATAGAGCATACACTGTAAACTCAAATAGTTGGAAAAATCAAATTAATTCAACTAAAAACTTTATCATCCATCTGATAATTTTAAATAATGTAAACATTGTAATCTTAACCTTGAACTTGAGACAGGATAAAATGTGATTTAATTGAACAGCTGTGCGTGTTGTTTTTGTTTTTATTCTTATCTGTATAATTTATTTATGTAAGGCTGTCTAAAAATCCAAGGAAATATATTAACCATATTTTCTTTGGTCATTAGCTTGCCTGCTTTGGCGAGTCCCGGTCCTGTTTTTTTTATTTAGTTCTAAAAGAATTATTGTTCTGTTCATTTCCTCGATTCTTTTGAATCAGACAGATTTTCTCTCTAGCAATCACACTGCCCTCCACCTCCGAACACCAGCAGTTTGTTAGACCCCTGTGGTGTCCTACCCTCAAAGTGTGATTTTGCCGTGCTAGGTACTGATTACAGGTAATGGCAAAAAATCATAAACTTTTAAGTTCTGTGAGCATTTAATTATAATTACCCTTACAGGGAGTGAGAGGTCGTTTATTTCTCATTCCTTTGATGTCTTAAACTTAGGTTATTATATGGTGAACGTTAGCTTGTAGGGTGTGTAGGAAAACGCAAAGTGAAAAGATATTTTAACTGCTTAGTTTGCAGTTTTTAAACTGCAAAGGAACAAGTAATAGGTTTATTCCATGCTGAAAATAAAGAAGAAAGCAAACGCAACGTTTCGGCCGTGGAGCCGTCTTCAGGTGGAGCCTTCTTCGGCTCCAAGGCTGAAACGTTGTGTTTTCTTTCTTTTCAGCATGGAATAAACCTATTACTTGTTCCTTTGCAACCTAAGCATGGTGACGCAGCTCCCCACCTGAACTACTACAGTTTTTAAACTGGTCAAGTTTTTAAACTTGCATACTTGTTTTCATATTCCCATGACAAGTGTAGCTTCCACCAGTGCTGGAAGTCTTGGGGGGCAGGGTGGAGCTGAGCTTAGCAGCGCTTCCTTGCAGTGCTGGGGCCCTAGGCTCAGTTCCTGTCCTGGGGTGCTGTCTGTGTGGAGTTTGTGGTTTCCTGACGGTGCTCCGGTTTCCTCCCACAATCCAAAGGTCTCTTGGCTTCTAGGAAAATTGGCCCCGGTGTAAATGTGCGTGTATGATTCTGTGTCTGTGTGTCCTGCGATGAACTGGCGTACTGTCCAGAGTGTGCCCTGCCTTGCACCCATTGCTGGTCCGGATGGGCTCCATCTCCCCTGGTTAAAGTGGTTAGAAAATGGTTGGGTAAAAGTTTTGAAGACAATCTTTACTTTGTGGAGGACATCATGGAGATATAATCCCAAGCTTAAAAATACATAACGCTCCACTCGGCAAATAAGGTAAAAATGTGAACCAGTTTGACCAGTCCTAAGGTTAGTGTAGTTTCGTGCTTTCACACTGACAGACAGCATGTGTCTGGCTAACTGGCACACACCTCCCAGAAGCACTGGATCCTCTTTCAGTGGAATCCTGTAAGCCAGCAGCACTCAGTGTAATTGGTTTGGCAGTGGGCAGTGGGTTGTAATAATTCATTGCCCTTCTGAGTCGTTTCCTTTTTAGACTGCACCTCTGTTCCAGTTGCTTGGTTAAGCTGTGCACTTTTTTGTAATGAGTTCAAGAGCCAAAAAGAGAGGAATCTTGCTTTTTTTTTTCCTTGGACCATTCTTTGAGTCATTTGAAATGAGTGTTATTGGAGGACAGGATTATCTATCCCCAAACGGATTTGTCGTAATTTTGCAAGGCTACTTTGCTTTGCTTACTAAAAAAAAGTGTTCATCTGCATAAGGTAGGAAGCGGGCAATGAGGTAGGGGCAACTAGAAGGTTGATAAAAAAAAAATCACATGTGCTTAGATGTTGCATGGAATATGGGCAGGTAAGGGCAACACGTGTTCACAGTGTAGCTAGCATTCTTTGAATAAGGATCTATCCAAAACATCCTGTTGATTTTGGAAACTTTAAAGATCCATTGTATCTTTTTTTCCTTTATGGGTGTTGTAGCCAGTGTTCGGAATGGCATATGTTTTGATCCGCCTCTGAAGTCTACTTGTCTTAACGTCTTTCTACAGAACAGCTGTACCCACCGAATCCACTGTTGAACTTCTGTGTGGGATTCTGGTACAGCATGAATACAGTTCTCCTCCCCCACGTAAAAAAAATATGCAGGTCCTTTGTAATTCGTGAGTTTTCCAAATGTTGTGCTGGAAAAGCACTTTCGAGTCTGAATCTGCAGTGATTTATTTGAATTGTTTTATGCATAAAGTAAAGTCATCCAGAATGAACTTGTTGCTGAAAAGTTGCCATGAACCCTTTACTCCATACAGTTGCATTTATTTATTCTAGAAGAATATGTGGAAAGTTTAAACATTGGTCTTCCCTGGTCTGTGGGTTTAGGTTTTTTTTTACCTGATTATTTTATTTTTCTTCTAGAAAAGATGCACTTTGCTCTGATAACATTTTTACTATTTTTAGGACAGACTCCCTTTTCTTATGCTGATCTGTCATTGTTGCAAAGAGCCTCACCTGGCATGAACTTTGCTATCTTCATGTTCTGAATATCCTGAATAAATTGCTTGAGGGACCACAATTCACTTCAGAAGCTTTTCAGAAAATCCATCTACCTGAAGCTGAACAATTTACTGAAGAAAGCTATAAAATGTGAGTTTAGAACTCTTACTTTTCTGAAAAAGTGAGCGAGATAGACTTATTTTCAGGATAGTAGCTTAACATTAACCTTGTGTGAACTGCAGCACATCTTGTTTGCGTTTCCTTTGAAACCAAGGTTTAGCTCATTCCACGTAAGAGATATCCGTTTGTCTGTTACTTCTTCAAGTGTTGGTCCTGTTCATAAAATCTTTCTGTTCTTAAATTCTTTTCTTTAGTTTTTTGCTGCACAATGTAGCCCTCGGCAACACTAGCGTTGTGCTTTGCAGGAGTCCATCCCTGTGGCATGCTGCTAACAGAGAAATGAAGAAATGAGAAATGAGTCTGTGACTGAGTAATATCCATTTCTAACAACCAGAGACATGTTCCTGGCAAGAGGTGTTTATTTACACACGTCTTCGAAAACAGCTTTGCCGTGCTCGAATTTTGTGTGAATTTATCGAGGACATTCCCCAACCCACTGCTGTTACTGGCTTTTACATTTTAATCTAGGGGTACACTTTCAGCAAATACGTTTTTTTTTTTAAATGAAACCTCTTTAAACTGGGGCCAGGGATCTCGAGCTGCAGTTTGGCTGTGTAACTGGTGCGCCTTTCTGTGTCTTCTAGGTGAACGGACCTCAGCACTCCTCCTGCTCCTCTGGTCTGTGAAGAACAGGACAGACTGTAACGCTCCGGGGGCGCCAGCATCCAAACTGCACCTTCTCTCAGTTCATCCCTTTGAGAATCTGGATAGGGATCCCTTTAGCTGTCTCTCTGGTTTTTCTCACTCAGTTGTTTAAAGTGCTTAAACAATCAAAAAGGTGTGGACTGGCATCTTAGGCCATAATTTCCCAAACCACAGTGTGTCAGTTCAGCGGTGAACCACCGAAGGACGCGAGTCAGTATTTGTGACACAGTGTACATGCAGAGCCTTTTCCACAGCAGCTGGTCCGTGTGCAAGTCTTTTACTCCGTGACAGTTTGGCCCTCTAATCTTTAAGCGAACCTGCCTTTGGCAAAAGGGCCCTTCCTAACCCTCTTAAACAGAAGGACTGGTCTCTCCAGAGAGAACCAACTGTGGGGGGGGACATTTTTTTTTTTAACATTTATTCCGCTGATTGTGTGTGGAGTTCCAGCTGTTTTCTGTCTAGCTTTGATTTGGAGCTTCATCATTCAAGTCAATGCAAAACTGTGAAAAGATAACTTTACTAAATGGATCGGAATTGGGTTTTTTTTTCCTGCACTATTAGCCATGTAAGGTCTAGCATGTAGAAGCACTGGAAAATTGTGTTTAGAAGTGTAGTTTGAAAAATGTATATTACAACACCCATCGTTGAGAGTGTGTGAATGAAGTGTGTTTTGAGACTAGTGAGTTGAAAGAAACAGTATCTGGATACAGGAATAAGTACACACGTAGAGACTATGACCTTCTCCCTTTATAGCTCTTATAGGTGCCCTTTTCACATATGATGTAATGGATAAAGCAGATGGTTTCCTAAATTGGTCCCTTTTGAGTAAAGCTCAAATACCCAGGTCATGTGTGACGTGTCAGGGCTCATATAATATGCAGCTTTGCATTCACAACAATCGGGTTGAACAGGAGAACACGAGTTTTAAAATAAGAAACCTGTTTTCTACCGTCTTTGATTCCGACAAACAACTTTCAATCATGGGGCCATTTCATAATATACGCGCTTCAGAAGATTAGGACTTTTATCTCCTATGTCTGCATTCATTTGTCTTCATTTCATACTTCTGTTTCATCACCTCAGTTGTTCAGCCAGTGCTTTGCCCCTAGTCTGAGTTCATAAGCACAGACCCATTCTCAAAATACTGCCTTTCATATATTTACAAGTGTTTGTGGCTGCCCACCTCATCTGCCACTGTGGCAAGATAGCAATCCACAAACAGCAGCAGGACTAGAACAGCTGACAGACAGCCTTGTCTTCAGCACTGATCTGAGTAAGAACACAAGAGAAGTATTTACTGCGGGTTGCTAAAGCTCACTGTCTTTGCCTGTTGCAGAGTTTGTCTTGTGAGGTCAGTTTCTCTGCAGTGCTCCTGTCCAAAGGGGACAGGAGTTCTGAATCTGCTGTATAAGTGGAAATTTTGAGCATGTTCAACTCCGGGATGTTGAAGAATTCTGAATGTGTTGCCTGTAAATTTAATGATCAAGTCTAAAGAAAAAAGATAATTATGGCCAGATTGTCGAAGGGCAATCTTTTTTTTTTTGGCTGTCTTCTTCATGTTGACTTCAGCATTTTAAAAAAGCACCAAAGAGGCTTCCTAGTATGTAGGTGGGACATTGTATAAACAGTGTATTGTATAAACATTGTATATTTACTGTAGCGGCGAGTTCACTGTAAAAATATTAGACAATGGTGTGGAAAGCACACAGCCTGGAGACAAAAGTAAACATCTTTAGCACAGTAGTTAACCTGGAAAAAAGAATCACATTTTTGGGGAATTTGCTGGACGTTGTGGGTGTGGGTGTTTGTTTATACAGTAAATGTAAAAGCCGCAGGTTTTTTTTTGGGATGCTATGTTTCTGTTCTATTGGATGGATAGTGTCTGCTGGTGAGGATCTTCTGTAAGAAAAACAACATTATTTGTTTGATTTATGCTTTGTACATTCATTTGTAATCTCTCCGAGCTACAAACCTCCCGCCTGTGCACGTTAAGTCCTAAAATTGACATGTAAACAGTGACTCACTTACTTTGTTGGCGTTTATTGTTTCTGGTCATTGCTGACAGCTGGTGACTGTTGCAGTGGGTCCAGTGGTGGAACAGGCAAAAAAACCCTACTTTGCATACTAGTGTATGTGCACGCACGCCATTACATTCTAGCACTATGGAAATATGCTTTCATTGGAAAAAAAAAAAAGAATCAAGTACAGTATGAGAGTGACTGGCACTTCATTCTGTCTATTCATTTGCATTTCACTTTTCGGAAGATGTTCTTCGGAGTGTTAGGATAATGAAATTGAGCAAAGAACACTGGAAACAAATTGTTTTCCACATTGCTAACCGCCCTCATGCATAAACCGCAGTCACAGCCTCATTCCCACAAAGCTTATTGTTCCCCTACAGACTATAAACAGCCGAAGCTGTGGTTCTGGCATTCATGCGTCTTGCAGAAGAATTCTGTGTTGATTTGTTTATTCAGAGATGTGTGTGTATGTATATATATATATGAGCATTTGACAGTACAAGAGAGTTTCTCTTTTTGCAAGCATTGATTCTTGTTGCATTTAACACAATAGCACTGTCGCCGGTGTCACAGCCAAATAGTGTAATGGAAACGAGCTACTGATTCCTTTTGCCCTTCCTTGCAGCCTTATTAACATCCCCGAGTGGTAAAGGAAAACACTGAAAGCAGCCTGCATTTTATGTTGATGGACATACAAGTCAAAAGGGGACACCTTACTATTAAACTTCTTTTCATTTTCCAGATTCTGTATGCAAGTGCATTGTATTAAGCTGAATTCGGGCTTTAAAATGACTGTGTTTGTGAGCAGGACGCGATCTTGTGAAAGCTAGTGTGAGTGTGAAATACGATTTCTATTCAAGCACTTTGAAATGCAAGAACTGTTCTACTGTTACACATTGGACGGGTCATAGGTTACACCCTCTGACTTTTGGAGAAATGAAGCATGTGGTATTTTTATTTAATCAGTGGCTGGTATGATGCTAATTTATGGTACTGAAAAAATTACGTAATTCTGCTGCTAGTGTTTATTGGCCAGCCTAAGGATGGAAATACTGATACTACTTTGCAATGTAATACAGTCATTGAAGCCCATTTTTTACATTTTTCAAACAGTGTTTACTAGTGCTGGCAAAGATCATAGCTGTACATGTTCATAAAGAAAATTAACACTAGCATTTAATATAATCCTACTATGAAATCTAATACAGAGGAGTCTGATGCAGCTAACAGTTTAGGCCAATTGAAAGATTACCATACGCAATGTGTTTTGGCACTCCAATGTAAAGTTCACATTTTTGTGTTATGAAATAAATTGTCCTTAATTTCCCTTAATATTTCATTAATTGACAGAGAGCTGTAAGCAATGCATATGTGAATACAAATTGTTTTTATTGGCAGTCCCTTCGTGTCTTCATTAGGTGCATTTGATTATGGCTCACATTTATAGACACATCTGGGAAACATCATCTCAACCCTCCGACTTCTTGCTCAGTGTACTTGGTTCCTGGAACTCTGAAGGATGAGCTGTTAGTGTTATAGATGGGTGATAGGACTTTGTTCAGTTTTTTTTTCAAACTGTATTCTAGAACGGGGAAAATGACATCTATTATCCAATGTGATAGGAGAATGTACAATTTTGTTGAGAGAATATTGGTAATGATAGTTCTGTGCTTCGAGACTGCTGTGTATCCTAAGATCTTCACTAATGTGGGATATTTACCCAGCCTCTGTTACCACATTTCATTTCAGTGCTTCTACAACCTGTTCAATTCATCTGCAATTTGATTTGTCACCTATTGTAATGCGGGTCTTCATTATTGGGCATTCAATAGCAAGGAATAGCAGTTTTCATTCCGTTTTCAAAAACGGTTCCTCGGATGTACATTGTTTGAAATACAGTGCTTTGATTTGAGTGTTTTGCACAGTTGTATATGAATACATGTTGTCTGCTATGTACTTTCTTATTTTGATAATCCACTTCCTGTGTTCGCTTGTTGATTTTTCTTGTGTTATTTGACTTCAGGTTTTATTGTATATTACATTCAATATCCACACACTCTCCGTGAGAAACTCAACTCTGTGCCATCTGTGACTCAGAAAGAAAACAAAAGAAAGCAGCTCACCACCACCTATTAATCAGAGTTGCATAATGCAAATTTCTTTCTGGAATGAAAAAAGTTGCCTTTATTTTTAGTGTTAATAAGTGTCAAAAATCAAATGAAAACTTTTATAAATGCTGGAACTTGTACTTTAACTTTCCTGTAGTGCGAACGTAATTGTAGAATGGAAGGTAATTGCAACATTTGTGAAATATGAAATTCTGATCTATTTCCTGTTAATAAAAAATGAGTCCAAATGTTCTTGTATCCATTTTGTAGGTTCTGAGTACTTTGAGATTTAAAGGAGTAAGTGCAAGAAATGATCTGAACATTTCTGTGGGAGTGAACTAGCTTTTAAATTTAATTATCTTAGAGGAATAGAAGAACAAAGCAAAGAATCTCTGAACAGCTTCAGACTGCCCAGTAGGAGGCATGTGTCCAGTAAGAACTTGCCCGATTCAGCTGTAGCTCTCCAAGCATCTGCCATCTCCCAGGGACTATCCTGGGACAGAATATTGGAGAAAGTAGACTAAACCCATTGCCAGAAACAACCGCATCTTGACAATCGCGAAACATGGGGAAAAACATGCCCATTTAGCCCCCTTGGACAAAACACTTGGTATTATAGTCAAGTCCTGGCTCTGTTAAGAAATGTCACAATGAATCACTTGATGATTGGGATTTTTGGAAGTCCCAAATGTTATCGGTAACATTCCAGCCCCTATTCCAAATAACATCTGTTCAAGTTCTAAAACGCACAAAAATTAAAAATGAAGCCAATCCATTTATTCTGTCAGAGAAATCAAACCGAATTAGACATCTTACCCTCCCGTCCCAACGTGACACCATAAGCATGCTTTGCAGAAGGTAGACTGTAAGTAAATAAAAGGAGCCAAGAAGCTTTTACTGAAATTTTAAAACTCTAGAAGCAGCAAAAACTTCATTAAAAATTCAGTTTTTTATAGAATAGACACGGCGTGGACTAAGTGGACATTATAATGATCTGCAAAGGAAAGGTAATAGGCTTATTCCATTCTGAAAAGGGAAGAGAGAAAAAGCAACGTTTTGGCTGAGAAGCCTGAAGAAGTACTTGTTCCTTTGCAGACTACACATTCTGACGCAGCTACCCACCTGAACTATTCTAATGATCTTTTGCCCTTTCTGCTCTTCCACATCATTCTGGTCTTCCCCCTCCTTCTTGCATTTTTATGGCTTCCAGTGAAAGTCATTTTTTTAAAAGTCACAAAGGTTGTCCTTTTGTGTCACTGTAACCCTGCCAGAGTGATTCCATGTGTCATTCTTCCAGCTTATCCCTCAGATTCTGTTCGGGTACAACAGTCAGGAATTTTCCTAGGCATTTCTGATGAAACGAATCAATCTTTCCTTCATGCCTCTCGGTAAATTGCCATCACCCACCTCTGTGGCACCAACAACTGCTCTGTACACCCTTAACTTGGTCTTCGGATGATTCTGACTTTTCCAAATAGTGACACTTATTTAAAGTATGCAGCATTCACAACTCCTCGCCTTTGAGAATGGATTCTGCTGCTGCTGTCTCCAGCTGCAATGATCATACTGCTCTGGAACCCGTTAGTGACCTCGTGAAAGAGGTCTAGATCAAATAGCCTTAAGCTGTGCCAGTGGATGCCATGTTCACATCCTGTTCACACTGCTTGTAAGGCTTTTGTTTATGGTGAGTATAGTTTAGGGCAGCACAGTAGTGCAGTGGTTAGTATTTCTGCCTTGCAGTGCTGGCACCCTGGGTTCAGTCTTGGACATAGGATGCTGTCGGTGTGGAACTTCTGTGGTCTTCCCATGTTTCTGTAGGTTGTCACTGGGTGCTCCAGTTTGGTCCTACAGAGTACAAAGACATACTGATGGGTTAGTTGGCTTCTGGGCCAACATACTGGTAGGTTACAAAGGAACAGGTAATGGGTTTATTCCATGACATTTTACCTCAGATGACCATGATCACACTGATCTCTCTGTCTCTGTTCTCAAAGAAGGGTTTCTCAACTCCCACAGCAGAAAGACAACAGAAACGAAACTCATCCTAAAACTGGGTTCACACCTTCCCCTTCTCTCATTGACAGACTTATTTTCATGTAATCCTCTCTATTCTCATGCAGGTTTTGACTCCACACCTTTCTCCACCCCTCTCCACTTTGCACTTCCTGAGTGGCCTCTCTGCCTCTCCCCTCTCCCTCCTCCTCCACTTGTCCAGCTTTTGTTCTCCTGTGCTATTTAATCTTTGCTGTGTACCCTGTCTTTCACACCTGAAGAAGGCTCCATGGCCGAAACATTGTGTTTCTTTTCTTTTCAGCATGGAATAAACCTGTTACCTGTTCCTTTGCAGCCTACGCATGCTGACGCAGCTCCCTACTTGCTAACTGCTGGTAGGTTAATTGGCTTCTGGGAAAAGTGACATGTATCTGTTTGTGCCTGTGAAGGACTGACATTGTATTCATGGGGTACCCCATCCTGTGCCCTTTGCTTGCTGGGATAGACAACCCTGAATTACATGAAGCAGTTAGAAGGCGTATTAGTGCATGACCCTCAGGTCAGTCTGGAAGGCAGTTTAGAAAATGGAAGTGCTCTGCAATTCTCCTCACAGACAATAAAAGCCCAACAACATCAGCCTTGTCTAAAAGCAGATACTTGTTTCTTGTGGAGAGCTCTACTGATTTATCTAGCCATGACGATAGACATCTGCCAAAACTGGTGAGCTGGGAGCATCATTAAAATGTGTTGCTGTGGCATTACTCGGGGGCATGTTCAGTGTGGCCTTAGCAATCACAGCTGCTCTGGTGGACTGAAGATGAGCCACAGCTGTGAGGGCTCTATACAGGCACACTGGACACCCCCCAAGGGGACGAGCAGGGCCACCCCGGAAGGGGAGGCACATTTTACTGGCAGTCCCAGAGGGGGGTTGTACCCGCCTAAGGCTGTCGTTATTTTCTTTTTCCTTTCCTTTCCTTTTTGCCTGTGCCGTCACAGATCTTTAATGGGGCGGGCTGACCTTGTTCCCAGGTTAGGTTTTGATTTGTTTTGGCCTTGCGTGCCCTGCTCTTCCAG